TTAGGGGAGGGGGAATTAAGTTGACATTCGTCTTTCCAGGGGGAGAGGAGAGTAAGTTGACATTCGTCTACCCAGGGGGGGAGGGGAGAGTAAGTTAACATTCGCCTACCCAGGGGAGAGGGCAGAGAAAGTTGGCATTCTTCTAGCAAACACAACAAAAAAGAATGCTTGCAGGGGCCATTGTAAGGAGCCACAAAAATAAATATTGTGCGATATAAATTTCTGCAATCCTTAGGGATTAGCAGAACACTTGAAAAATGTTGAGAAGCATTCCACTATGTATGCATCATGCTTCTCCTAACACGTATCTCATGTTTTGTCAATTTCTTCGATGTCATGTGGTCGTTTACAGGTTGGTTATAAAGTTAGTAATCAGTTCACTTTTCATTGGTGGGATCATGTTTTCAACAAAACCGCAAAGTCCATAGTAGTCAAAGAAAATGAGGTAAGAATGATTAATAGCCCAAGCCAAGTCTGTGTGGATAAAAATAAAGCAATCTGATTGGTTGCCTGAGAGGATAGGATGTTGCCTTTCTAGGTAACAGTACTTCCCTTAAAGTCTTCCAAGATCCACCAGTGATTCACCAGTATTTAATTTTTTTAGACCTACCTTGTACCCTACCCGTTGGAGACTTGAACATGTCTCTTTATAGTCCTCTTACACTAAATACCAACCCAGGGGTCAAAACACTGAAAAAGATTAACTTCAAAAAATATTTCAATCCTTGAGAGAAGGAACTATTTGGCAATTCTTCTGTTTTGTCACCCACATTGGGAATTATTGTAAGGAGTCAATTCTGCATTTCTGCATTCAGCCTTAGATGTTTATAAACACTTCTCTCATTATATTCACCCAGTCATCAGAAACATTCATTATTTTGTATTTTAGGATGGTGTGCTTGTTACAAAAGAAGGGACCTCAAATCAACCAATCAGCAGCAAGAGACCTAACAAGCATTCCCAGAAGCCTTTGCTCTATGGACGGTTTGTTAAGGTAGTTAAAAAAACATATTTTACAGCCACCATTCCCCATAAGGGGCTCTTCAGTGAGGTTCCCTCCACAGGCACTACCACTACATTCTATATTTACAACATACTCAACTCAAATGTTGATTCTTATGAAGGGAGGAAACAGGAGAACCTGGAGAAAGTCCTCGTGGCAAGAGAGAGAACAACACATCAAACAAACTCAACTCTCATCTGATCCGGTCTGAGCCAAGGCTCGAACCCAGACCACAGTGGTGAGAGGCGAGCAGTAAACCACTACACTACCCATGCCACCCATTCAATTACAATTATCTCAATATTTTTATTACATTTCTTAAAAATACCCTTAGAAAACTGTGAGAAGTGTACCCTTGGTAAGGGTGTATTCAAAATAGACCTTTTTATCATGAGCGTAATGTTTTCTCATTTCCACCATGTGCCATTCCCTAGAGAATAATATTCTTTGTGTGAGTTATATCCATATATTTTGTTAAGAAATATCATTATCGTATTATTATTATATCAAGGCATCTTCAGCAACAACACCAGGAGATGTGGAAAGTGAGTCAGACAATACTGATGAAGAGGCAGAGAAAGATTTCTCATCTAAGTAAGTGTGGGTTCATCCATCCATGCATCCATGCATGCATCCCTCCCTCCCTCTACTATCAATCCAACCATCCATCCCTCCATCCCTCCCTCCCTCAATCTATCTGTCCATCCATTCACTCATCCATTCATTCATTTATTTATTCCTGCAGACATCCAGAGGACATAGTGTTCAAAGCATGTGGAGGAAGGACTGCTCACAAGTATGTACATTCACTGTTAGCTGAATAAGCCTGAAGCCAGATGACGTTTTACCCCCATCTCTAGACCATAATCCTTTTCACACTGCTTTTGTTCTTTAATTATGACTATTGTTCCTGTATTCTCTAAGGAATCAAAATTTTTAATATGAAAGAATTTTAAAAACTATTATGGTATAGAGTCGGGGGTAAAACGTCATCTCGCTTCAGGCTTCAGGCCATAGTTTTACCAGTTCAAATAAGGACTGCCTGATTTGAGTTTCCTATAGATCTCTTTGTCAAAAAGTTAAGACAGCCATCTTGAATTGCTAGGGATTACAGGCCATTCTTGTTAAAGTGTGGATAGTGAACATATGATGCAACTTTGCATGCAAAGCTGTCTATTGTGTTGTAAATTCACACCTTGTGGCCATGGGCAGATCTAGGACTTTCTTAGGGGGTCACATACACCACGATAATCTGTGATGATTTTTGTAAGTAATGGAATAACCAAGTTCCCATGGTGTAACTTTTACGACAACTGCATGCTTAAAAGAAAATCCCTTCCTGATTGGTTATTGATCATATTTAATGCTTAAACCAACCATATGCATGGGCCCCCTGTGTCCATCCTCTAAATCTGTCACTGGTGACCTCTTCTGTGCCATTGCATTGTGCATTGTTTACTTTYAAAAGCTCACATGCAACAATGCAAGTGTGCAAATTGATGCTACTTTTGGGATGTGACAGATGATGTCCCATATTGTATGTGTGCTACCAAGAGTCATGACTGGTTTACAGACCCAGTATGGGAGATGGATGCTCCTAGTAATGGACTCCTGAACTAGGATTATGTTGGGCAACAGACCCAGTATGGGAGATGGATGCTCCTAGTAATGGCTCCTGATCTGGGAATATGTTGGCCAAAAGACTAAGTATGGGAGATGGATTCTCCTAGTAATAGGCTCCTGATCCGGGAATATGTTGGCCAACACACCCAGTTTGGGAGATAGATTCTCCTAGTAATGGCTCCTGAGCTGGGAAATAAATATTCCATTATAGTGAAAATTATCACCATAAATTCAAAGCTTTCCCTACCCTAGGCTCCAGAGGTTCTATTTTGCTTCTTGTAGCGAGTGAGCAAATGCTGGAGCAAAAAAGAACCTGGTATAAAATTCTACAAAAACTTTAGTGCCTTGTGGTTTTCCGGTAATTATTGGATTCGTGTTTGTATTTTAATATCAGGGGTGCTCGACACGGGTTGAAACTGAACGGAAAACTGAAACGAATTGAAGAACAAGAAAGATTAGCCTTATCAGCACCATGGTGAGTAATAAAATAACCACGTCAACCAAAGTATACGATTGGTTGATTGTCCATGGTATATAATAGTATATACCATGATAATTTGTGATTATGATTTTTGTGAATAATGAAATAACCAAGTTACCATAGTATAACTTTGACGATAACTACTTGAAAGAATATCCCTTACTGATTGGTAGGTTGCCCGTGGTAAATAAGAGTATATACCACGGTAATCGTGCCATCGCTGACATGGTGCGTTTCGATACTTACCTTTATGTCTTGGACATAATGTTTTCCCATTTTAGACCACGTGTCATTCCCTAGAGTACCATTTCTTTGTTTAACGGTTGTGCACGATAAGACACATGAATATGGATACAAACTCAAAATTGTACTCTCAAGAGGATGACACGTGGTCTGGAATGGGGAAAATTAAAAGTTCAAGCCAAAAAGGTCTTTCCACGAGACAAATGAGTAACATGTGACTAACGTACAGTACCTGTATATCAAATCAGTTCCAGAAGTGCCAGCCCAGATGTTACCAAAGAGCATGACATAGAACAGAAGACCGCTGAACTCCTTGACCTACTGAAATCCAAAAAGAAGAAAAGAAAATCCAAAGACGACGACTTGAAATCTTACAGCGATAGTGAAGGATGCGTGGTAAAGAAGAAGAAGAAACGAAAAAGAAATCGGGAAGAAGACGTAAACGATCTTGAACATGAAGCGAGGGGAGCAGAAAAATCCAAACAAAATGAAAAAAAAAGGATTGATAAAGACTTGATTAAACATAACGAGGAACCGAAAAGCTGTAGCAACCGAGAGACGATAAAAAAGAAGAAAAAAGATAAGAAAAGAAAGAGTGAAAATAAGAAGGACAAAACGGGAAAAAGGAAAAAGCTTGTGGACTCAAGTGATGGAGAGTGTTCAGAAGTAAGTTTGGATGAGTTAAAAGACGAGAAAACTCAAAGTAATTACAAGAAAGACAAACGCAGAAGAGAAGTCCTCTGTCACAGAGAATAAGGAGAGGAAAAAAGCAAAGAAAAGAAAAGCAAAAGATATAATCGAAAATGAAACAGATATCAGTAAAAAGGACAATAAGGAATTGAATGAAAGTGAAGAATCTTCTATGAAGAAAAAGAAGAAAAAATAAATATTAAAAAAAAAATTGAGCTGTGGTAGAGTACAAACACTAAAAGTGTGCAACACTTTGCTCTATTTAGTAGTAAATAGTGCTAATTAAACAATAGAAAACAAAAGGATTAGCATAATTTAGCAGTATTTAGTGGTATTTATGTTGCACACTTATAGTGTTTGTACTCTATGAATAGGCCAAGTTCGAGATATAATTATTGATTATTATTCATTGGAATAAAATGGTCAAAATTGCATCAAGCCTCAAAAAGATTCAAATATAACGTTGTTGACTGACCCGGGATGGGGGGGG